CCGTCAGTGGGCGCCCGCGCTGGCGCCGCCCGGGCTCTGCGATGCGGGCGAGTACGCGCGAACCCGGCCTCACTTACCGGAGGGGGCGGGGCGCGCGAGCGGAGGCGCGGAGGCGGTGCCATCAGAGCTGCGCGCAAGGTCGGAACGACAGACTCGGCTAGAGTTCCGTCTGTATCTTGAAAAACAACATGTGTTTGGGTTATTCTTATAGGAGGGAGTTGTCAACGGCAGTGCTTCTCTGCTGAGCGTCACTGCAGCTTGTGTTTCCCTGCGGAGGGATGGGGGGGTACTTAGGAGAATCACTTCTTTCATGGTGGTTTGTTCGCTTTTATAACATTGTTGTGCTAAGCTAAACGTGAGACGCGGTGCACTCTGCCCTGTAGCCGGTGTGGCTCATCCTGTAATACACGTGGACTCCTCTCCACGTGGGGACATGAATCTCTTATAATAACTGTAATAGGTTCATAGATTCTGTCGTTCAGTTAACCTAACAGTTTCCATTGTGGATATAAATGGTGTGTGCATGTATTTATTTGTTTTAAATTTTCGCTATGGGATACTTCAAACGTACATAAAAAGAAGAGAGTGTAATAAAATGTGTCCGCCTGGCACTTGTCGCCCAGGCACAGCGCCCTCCAGCTCTGGGGCCACTCCTCTGTCCCTCTGTACCCTTCACCGCTTCCCCCACACCTGCTTCCTCCACATCATTGTGAAGCAGATCCAGGTCCAGGATAGGTTTGGTTTTGTAAGCACTGTTAGATACTTCCTCAACCACCTACTGAAATACATAAAAGTATGTATCTCCAGGGTTGTTATCTGAGTTAGAAGATAGATTCTGGCTTGTTGTCTGAAAGTGAAAAACTTCACTTTTCATAAGTGAAAAGCTTTTTACGAATCATTTAAAAGAATTGCTTTGTTTTCCTAGGGTCATCCAGGAGTTCCAGGTTTCATGGGGCCCCCAGGGAACCCAGGGCCACCGGTAAGTAATTATTTTTAATCCCTTCCTCTTTTGGCCTTGTCATCAGTACACACGTCCACACTCACTGGAGGTGCGGTCACCTTGACGTACCTCTTATTTGAAAGATTGGGCTGACCTGAGAGGTGTCCAGGGGTGAACTGGAAGTGCAGTCCCAGAGGCATGTGGGGTGAGCACGGAGGGTCTTGAGCAGCATTGAGGGACAGTGTAATTAGAATGCTCCTGGGACGGGAGGCTTTGGAAGGGATGGACAGGATCGACTTACTATTCTTTATCCAGCTTGGGAGGGGGGAGTTGGGGATAATTCCAAGGTTAGAATCTTAGGTAAGAAATGGAGAAGCAACTGTCCCTCTCCCATAGAAACCTGTCCCATAGTAAGAGGCTCTGGGAATCACAGGGTGTTTATGCAAGCTCAGACTTGCTTGGATTTACTATAATTGATAACAGTAATAATAACTACGGATTATTATTACTGTGCAGCATGACTATTTTCAACAGTTCATTCATTAGCATTCTAAGGCCCTTGTTATCAGTGTATCTGCAACCACCATAGTATCACCCCATTTATTCCCCTGCCCCACCCCACCCCCCAGGGCAAGTGTTCTCCTTGCTCTTAGAGTGGCCGTGGTGCTGATGTTGACTGATGCTCTTCTCAGCAACCTTGCCTCCCTTTGGTCTAGGCGGCCCACGGGTTACTCTTGTCCCTCCTCTGCTCGGTCCACTGTGGTGGTTACCCGCGGTAGCCATGGTAACGGGCTGTGGGAATTAGCATCCTCACCAAGCCAGGCCTGGTCCCCTGGGGTTTCCCATGGGTTCTTCAGGAGCCCTGGTCTCCCAGACCTTGCAGAGAAGAGGTCACTGGTAATGGCTAAAGGACCCTGAAAGGGAACCTGCTTCAGATAGGGACCAGCCTGTCGTAAATAATGAAGGATCGTGAAGTTAGAATGTATGAAATTAAGCTTGCTGTGTCTCCTTTTCAACGGCATCTAGTTGGCTACTAATTGTAACTATGTGTTAATTCTTAAAATAAATCAAGTTGTTTTAAGTGTATTTTTTTTCAATAAAATCATGAGAACATGAAACAACATCTTTCAGTTCATGACAGATTTTTCCACCAAAATCGTGGAAAGGTAAATCGTCTACAAAAGTATTGAAGCTTTCCGAGTTGCCCACAGAGCCTGCCTGAGATCTCTCATGTTCAGCTCGTTCCATCCCCCTCTTTCTAGTGCCTTTGCTGTTAACATCCTTTTCAGTTTCTCGGCCTCAGGTCTTAACTGTTCCAACTCTGCCGTCTGCACATTTGTGAATGACCTGGTAGGGAAATGATCCGTTTGCTATCGTTTGATTTTGTGAAATTCTGCATATGTTTCAAAATGTGTAATTTCATGCAGGGAATTTCTTTGCACTGTGTTTGTGTGTGTTACTGGATTTTGTGGCATCTGATCCGCAAAGAGAAAGACTGATCAAGATGGCAGCAGTACCGATAGCGGGAAAAGGCATCGGCGTGAAGTGAGGAAGGGACATTTGAGAGGGAAATACTAGCATATAAAAAAGCCCGGTTCTTGAATGACTCATTTCATACCATGATGGCTGTAGCTTCCCTGCACAGCCAAGCAGCTGAAGAGCTCATAAAAAGTACTGAGTTAAAGCCCCATCCTCTTCCCACCCTGGTAGCTCCAAAGCCTAAAACACATCCCAGCCCAAGTGGAGCCCTGTTCTCTTCCCGTTGGGAGCTGCCGCGACTTCGAACTCTGATGACAACAGTAGCAAATGGCTTATTCTCCTGTTTGATGACGAATCTGAGATTCACAGTCACAAGCAGAAGCCAGCTTGTCTGCCTCAGCTGGTTGGTGTGTTCTTTCAGCACCAGGCAGATGTGTATGAGCTTCCACTTTGTGCCCTGCCTTGGACTGTTAACTGCCCTTGGGAATAGACGCTGAGTCAGCTGCCCACTCAGGGTTAGGGGTCAGCCATGCAATAGGAACTCAAGAGCAGGAAATGACCACTCTTCATCATTCATGCATTGTTTTTTGAGTGTTTATTGTGTGTTAGATAGCGATGCCAACAGACAAAGCTCCTTTCTTTGGTAGTCTATTTTCTGGTGCTCAGTCTGCATTCTTCTTCCAGGTAAAACCCTTACCCTGTTTCTAACCTGCTGGTTTAGCTAGATTCCAGAGTCCAGGATGCCAGAAGCTTTCGGCAAAATTACGTAGAAGAATCCAGGTTAGGAGTAGAAGCTCGATTGTTCCGTTAGGTTTGGACTAGATGTGTGATTTTCCTTTGCAGCAGCCCAGGTACAGGGAAACACAAACCTTGTAGGCCGTTTGTTTAAATATTATCAACATCTTTTTGTTTCATGAACTTTTACTGGGTCATCACCTAGTGAAAGGCATGGAGGCAAATCAGACTGCATCTTGTCTCCAGGATTTGTTTTACATGAAAATTAAGACACTTCTCCTTCAGCTATACCAAGTTTCTTTGAGGTCTAAGACCACCGTGTGGTCATTTCTGTATCCCTAAACCTTTGCCAGCACCTGGTACAACATAGGAGCCCAATAAGTGTAGGTAAAATGACTACAGACTGCTGGAAAGGTATCAGTGAAGTGCTGTGAGAGCTTGCTTGTTTGTTATCCCGTGTCTAGTTCTTGTCTGCAGTTTCCTGGTCTTGGGTTGGCCAACAGACACACTGAGAAGACCACTGTCACGAGACTTAGGATGATGGAGAGCCCTTTGTGGAGATCTCCTAACGTGGCCTGGTGCGGGCTCACTCTGTGTGTGTGTTACCTGACTGAGTTCTCTCAACAACTCAGGTTACATAGGTGCTGCCTTTTTTCTTTTTCTCTGTTTCACAAAGGAACTGAGGTGCAGAGGAGTGAAATAACTTCCCTAGGGCCCCACAGCTAGTCAGCGGGGACCCAGGACGCCGACCCAGGAGCTCTGGCTCTGGGAGGGTGTGCCCCTCGCTGGTGCCCTCTGTCCCATGCTAAGCACGTTGGAGGAAGTGCCTCGTTTACCCCCCACCTCCATGTGGCATGGGCAGTAAGGAAACCGAAGCATGGTGGCCTCATGCCACTCGATCAAAGCAAGTAGGAAGCAACGTATTGGCTAGTCTAAGGGGCCTCTGCCTGCATCACCCGGCCAGCGAGCATTCATCTAGTCAAGAAATACTGAGTGTGCACTATTTCCAAGGCATCGTTTTTGTTCCCAATAAACAAATAAGGTGATAAACACTAAGATGTCAAATGGAAGTAAAGGCTACAGAAAAATAAAAACAGAAAAGGGTGGTGAGAAGCAGGGACATTCAGTTTTAGATCTGGTAGGCAGAAAATGTCTCACTGAGAAGCTGACACCTGAGTCACAACGTGGAGGAAGGCAGCATATGAGCCCTGACACATGGAGGGTTAGACTACTGGCGGTAGGAACAGCATGTGCAAGAGCCCTGGGGCAGAAGCACGTCTGGGGCTCACTTCACACCACTTACCTGTGTAGAACTCCTCTCCCCTTTATCTATATGTACATCTCTTTATCCCTGAGTTGATACAAGCAACTGTCTTCTTTATCTCCCTAGAAGATAAATCTAATTGTTGGTTTCTTGTTGTCTGCCCTGTTTCTTGTTGTCTGCCCTGAAATGTTCCCTGATGTTAGCTGAAAATGTCCACTCTGAAGGGAGACCATTTACTCTTGTCTTGTGGATAATGGGCTGGTGAATGCTTTGACCTTTCATGAAACGTGGCTGCTGTCCTCCCAACATCTTTGTATTCCCAGAGGCTATCCCAGCCTGATGCGGAGGGCAGAAGCATCTCGGGAGTACTTGAACGGTTCAGGCAGCTGGGAAGGGGCACAGGATACAAGATCTGTGCGTTGCCTCACACGCAAAGAGGAGGTGCTAAAGATCTCTGTTCAGTACACAACAAACCGGCTTTCTGCTTTACCATCCTTTAGGGAGCAGATGGAATTGCGGGAGCTGCTGGACCGCCAGGAATCCAAGGACCCCCAGTAAGTTCCTCAGTGGATGGGATCCACCTTCAGTTTGTGTTTGGACCTTCCCAGAACCCCAAGAGTTTGCCCTGGTCGCCCCTGCCTCCTGCGGCTCACATCCCCAGGGTTTATGCACCGCTGGTTACTACGGGAGGGGTTGATTTCCCTTAGAGCCCTGGTTACCTTGCCTCTGAAATGAAGGCTTGGATGAAATGACCTAGCAATCTGTGATTCCAGGATTCAGTTTGCAACCAGTTCAAACTGGCCCAAGGTTTAACCCCATCTCTCTATTCCTGTTCAATGCAGTTTCCATCTGAAACAGGCACAGGCAAGCAGAAGGTGTTGGTGCTAAGCCATCCTGAGCCTGTGGTGGGAGCCAGGCAGCATGTCAGACAGGAGGTAGCCACTGTTATCCAGTTGTTCAAAAAGCAGAGTGAAATTAAGAAAGAGGAAGTCACAGGTCAAGGTACTGAAACCACACAGGTGGAGCTGGTTGAAACCCGAGGCTTTTATCTCAAAAACCAGCACTGTATTCATTGCATGAAGCTGCCAGGACCACTCTTGGTTTCAACACCATAAAGCCAAGGTGAACCTCAGTTTGGCAGGCATGTGCTCACTGTCACTACATGCATGTTCCCCTAAAGGAATATATGGTCCATTATCTCATCTGACTGTCCCATCACGAGGATTATCTCCATTTTATAAATAAAGAAACTGGGCATCAGGGAAGTGAAACTACCAGTTCAAGGCCACACGGTGAGGAGATGTCGGAGCCAGCTGCCAGCCCTGCTCTACAGGAATCCCAGCATCACGTTCTAGGTAGGGCTATTGCTAGCAAACAGGTCAACTCTGCCTTGGTGTCTCTGGACCCTGGGGTCAAGAGCACTTTAGGGATCACCCAGGACATCTTCCTCCTCCTACTCAGATGGGGAAGTCAAGGTCTGGTGGGTGAGGTGACTCATTCAAGGACAGATAGGAAATTGATATCCAAGTTGGGAATTCAGTCAGTTTGAAAATTCCCATTTCAGCATTCCTTCTATTACTCCACATTGACCCTCTGTGTTGGAGGGTTGGGTTAGGGACTGGAGGGATGTTAAATTTGAAAAATAAGAGACATGTGGTTCTCTCTACGATCATCGTCTGGTCAATCCTTTGGAAGCAGCCCACCTAGAAGTCCCAGGATGAATAAAATACAAACCATACTGCAGGTAGCTTTTTATTGATTCTCAGACAGAAAACGATTTCCCCGATAAAAACTAATGGACCGTTTGCCCAAGGAGAATAAGATGTAGGGCCCAGATGTAAATCATTGTATTCCTAGGAATTAAACTACGTTTAATAAGACATTGATTCTGTCCTGGCGAGTTATGACTGTGCTTGAAGCTGTCCGTGGTCCTGATATTTCACCATTAACATCCATCCAGAATATAGCAGAAGTTTCCTTAGCACAAATGAGTGTCGGTAGTTAAAAAACAGAAGTAAAGAAAGTTAAATGGGGCATAGGAAAAAAAAAAAAAGAAAAAGAAAAAAGTACACACAAAAATCTAAAACATTTCCATTGCATTTTGAATTAAACCATAAAAATTGTTTGCCAGTTTTTTTGCCTTACACTGAAGGCCCTCATTTTTATTTCTATTCCCCTGAATGGAGTCTCGTCATTTTCTTGTAAAAAGAACATCCACCCATTTACTATTTGTTGCTTTTTTAAAGGGTGGTTTGAGTATATATCAACACTTGTGAAGCAATTTGAATGTAGAATCCTAGTTTGTTAGGATTTTTTTGCTAATCTTTTATAGCTGTCTTGCGGTACAGCTAACAGCTATCTATTTATTTAGATAGTGAGTGTCTCATCTTTATCTATTTTCAATGTCTTAATTTGCATAAAAAGATCATTCTTTTTCCGCCTAAGTTTCATTGGGTTACGTAATGAATAATTAAATTATATAATTTCCATAGCAAACAAGTTGTGAAAGCAGGTTTAGGAACAACCATACTGACTCCTTATTGAGTCTTCAGTTCACCAGATGGGAACAAAAAATAATCTAGACAGTAAATAGTTTAGTCTTATGGGCTATATGATCTCTGTTGCAAATATTCATCTCTGCCATGGAAAGGTGACTCAGCCACAGAAAATGTGTACGCTAACAGTCAAGGCTGTGTTCTGGTAAAACTTTATTTGCAAAAACAGGCTGAGAGCTGGAGCTTGCTACCTCCTATCCCAGATCACTAGTGTTTCCATACTAGGATATTTGAAATAATGAGCATCCAAGAAGGAATCTAGGAAGCTCTGTTATCAATATTTAAAAATTCCTAATGGTGATGGAATTTTGGCCAAAGTTGACCAAAAATCCACCTTTTTTATTAATGTGTTTGCAGATATTTGAGATATGGGGGAGGGTAAACATTTTTTGTTTTATTATTATTATTTCGCACCAGTGTAAGTGGCAGTATGTATAAACAATCCCGAATATTATGCAACAAAAGTCTACAGAGATGCAGGTTATGTCAAATTATTATCAATGCAAATGCATAAACACAGCATTTCATTTTTAAAAAATTAAGAGCAGCCACTCAACGTGGATATGCAGAGTGAAGATACTTTTGAGAAAAGGTTTTCACAAACCAGTGGTGAACCTAAAACATTGTCCTTTCTTCATCAGTTCCCAAGGGTCTATGACAAAAAATTCTCAGTACCTTAATGATATGATAGTGATATCTTTCATTTTCTTTACATATGGAAATAAAATTCAGTTACTTGAGTTTTTATTGAGTGTAACTAGTGCTTAATAAAGGAAGTGTATTTTGGTCCCCTGATTGGACCTTTATATGACCATACATAAACTCTCTATAAATCTGAAATAAATATCAAAATTACTTGCTTTTGCTTTTCTTCAGAGGGGATAAAGTCACAACCTTTAAGAACATCTCATTTTGTGTGGCATATGGATTAGAATGTGAAAACCTGACATCAGCATTTTTTATTACGAAAGAAACTGTCAGGGAATTATAAGTTACCAGGAATTCTAAAATGTTCCTGGTAGAGACACAAGATGATATGAAAATGCCCGTCATGATAAAAATGATTTCATCTGATTTAGAAGCTCTGGTTGACAGTGATGTGTGTTTTTGGTGAATAAAATGGGAAATGAATTAGTAATTAATGCAGTTTTGTAAACACAATCTGTCAAGGTGGATTTCATGGGGGAAAGGGATACTAAGAGCGACCACTGATGGTAAAAAGTTTGCGGACCTCTGGATAAGAGGGCCATAGTAACAAAACCGCCCATTACACGCGTCCCAGACAGTTCTTTACTTGTGTTGAATTCTGTGTATGGAACACCTGCGGGTGCTGTGGTCGGTGCTGTCAGCAGGGTCCTGAGTCTCAGGCAGTTTGGGGACAAAGTGCAGAGTTGGATCTTGACCCAGATCTTGTGGACCCCAAAGCTCCAATATCTTCTTCCCATTGTGCCTCCCAATCTCTAGTTCTCCCTGAGTCCATATAATAAGGCCAGGATGAGTCCCAGTGTGCACACCAGCCGGCACATTTATGCTCTGTCCAGGGTGCCTCCCTGCCCTGCAGGAGGCGATGCCTGGGAAGCAGCAAGGTGGGCTGGAGCATCTGCCGCTCCTCGCTGAGGCTCCTCCACCCCACGAGACCAGTTCTGGGTGAGATCACTTACTTACAGAGAGCTAGTCCCAGAGAGCTAATGGTGCTTTGTGTCTTGGATCTTTTAGGGGAAAGAAGGTCCTCCAGGCCCCCAAGGCCCCTCTGGATTACCTGGCATCCCAGTAAGTGGCATTTAAAAAAATCTAGTTTCTTTACTACAAAAATAAGCAAAGAAAACTATATTGCACCGTTGTTAAAGCAAAGAGTGTTCACTAGAGGACTTCTTGGCATTACAGAAAACTAGAAGAAAAATAATCACTAACCAAAGCCAGTCTTAGTCTCATTCTTCTTTTATGTTTATATTTGTCGTTTACTTACCTAAATAAAATTTTCATCTCTCTCTACACACGCACTTGTCAATCAACACACCATATACATACGTAACTGTAGTAAGTAATTGTGGTAATAGAAACATTTTCTATCTTCCACACTGGCATTAAATGCTCATAAATTTTACATACACTCTACCCAAAAGGGTACCATAATATATATGATTCTGTTGACTTACAAATCTTATAACTGTTTTAAAAATCTACAGTAGGTTATTTTACATGCCTAGCAGTTTTCTTCTTTCTGTAGCATGGTCCCCCAAAGTATGACCTACTTGACAGAGTACAATAATATCTCAGGTGCTTGATACGTACTGCAAAATTTCTCTCCACAAATGTTGTTCTGGGTTTTTCAATTTATTACACTTCTCACTCGGGTCAGACTCTCCAGTACCTTAGCAGTAAGGCTCCAGAGAGCCCACACGCTGCCTCCTTCGTTGAGAAGAGATCCTCGCGTGGCTCCAGGTCTGGTGTGTGCTCCCTGCTGGGGCCTCTACTGGCCACAGCCCCACCCCGGCCCGCCACGGTGCATTCTTTTGTTCCCACCATACTGGCTTCCTTTTGGTCTCTAGAACACTCTGCATCCTCTCCTCTCCAGGCCACTGGGCCTTTGCACGTGTATTTCTGTCCACCCAGAATGCCTTCTTGTCACCTCTTTCACTAGTTGATGCCTCTCCCTTCTGCTTGGACAAAAAGAGCCATGATAGCTTTCACACCTTGTCCGAAGTGGTACTCCTGCTGCTCCCAGGAACCAGGTCTGCCCCAGAAATCCTCGCAGGGTCTTCTACCAGCCTCCAGCCTCCAGCCTGAGTCGCAGCTCTCCTTCCTGCGGTGTCTGGTTGCGTTGGCTTTCTCTTCTGTGCACGAGTCTCCTGACCATCCTCCCCACTGCTCCATGCACAGGGAGACACGGTTCCTGAAGTTCAACTCTTAATTGAAAAGATCATTACTGCCTGGCCTCAGCCCAGCTAGTTTATCTGGTGTTAACGTGGTTATGCCGGGAGCAGGCTTCATAAAGAGCTGTGGGTGCACACTGAGTGTTGGCTAGCAGCCCGGATGGTCAATAAACTTAGGTAACTGTCTATGACGGCTTCCCACCGGTGCCGGGGCGCTGCCGTTAAAGGCACTGACAAGGACCGCTGCACCTTCCCTGAGCGCCTGGGGCAGTGGGAGCACCTGCACTACTGGTGTGGTTCATCAACGCTGGGTTTGTTAGCGTTGCAGGTGGAAGCACTGATCCAGAGCTGCCTAGTGACTCTGCCGGGGGGGCTGGCCACCTCTCTCTAGGAGAGGGACCCCTAAGGAGCTGAGGATGTTAGCAGCTTGCCCGAGGTCACATGTGTAGTCGGTGCCAGCGGGATTCAGACTTCCCAGTTTCCCCTCTGCCTTGCCACCTGTTGCTTTCTTTCCCTGGAACCCATTCAACCCCGGTGGCCCAGAATTGGAACTTAAGTCTGTGTGAGGTCACAGTCATTGTACGGAACTGTCTCTCCC